TACCACTATCACACGGAAAAGCAGAGTAAACATATTTGCAATGTTGGTAGCTATAATGGCACTTCACAGCATATGAGAGCTCATTCTGCCATTGCACAATTGTTGGATCTGGTTCAAATAAAAAAAAAAACCAAGCATTTTTTAAAGATACATGAGTTATTCAAGTAATTTATTCCCCTTTGGTACGTTAGGGAGTCCCCAAAAAACTGGGGTAAATAAAGGGATACTTTTTGCCACACCTTCTGTTCACTGTGACAGGAAAGACTGCCATTTTCCTTCTAAACAGTGATCTCTTCCTGACTTTCATAACGAGCACAGTACCTAATCAACAAACATCAGCGCAGAGTTTTGAGTACTCTAAGCTATAATGAACTAGTAACCATCTTCTGAAATACATAATGCAAGCTGAGAACCTTTGAGGGGCTGCACTGAACAATGTTTTCACTCTAAAAAGACACGTTTGTGTAGACGCAACCTACATTCATTTCTCAACTATTCTAGATAAAGAGAATCTACAGGCTCAAAATCAAACACTTGCCTTCAAGAGCTCTTGGAAAAAAAACCCAGGACTTTAAAAAATCTACATAGTTTATGAAGTTATTCAAGATGAAAAGTGCCATATGTATACACAATAGCCTTCTCTTCATTATGCAGAACAAATGAAGAACTGAATCTTGTTTATGTTATTAAATCATACATACTAAAATTAATATGTATATTGACTTTTCCCTATCAGATTCTTCTCCCTTTGAACAGACATAACACAACGGAGAATTGGTATTTGCTGGAATTGCTTTCTGACTGAAATTATTTGACCATTGTTAACTGAGCACTAGAATCACTGGTTTGACCTACAAAAACAGGTGCAAAAATGGTTAAGTCTCAGTTGAAATTTCACCTATTATTTCCTGCACATAAAAAGGCAAGAAACAATTAAAAGGAAGTAATAGAAATTAAGCTTTTAATATTAAAGACAAAAAGGACAACACTTCAGGCAAACAAGTTCTCCTTCAGACATAGAAGTTTAAGGTAGTGGAAGGAATTAACTAAGGGAAGATTGAAACATAAAAGTTAATCACATGGTAAGCAGAAAAAAATGCTTAATTGAAATTGCCACTCATCCTGCTTCCTTCTATCCTGGTACAGTGCACATGTAAAAAAAGACTCAGTTAAATATCAGCTGCTACATTATATACAGTGTTGTTCTTTTAGCTTTTGTTGCAAAAAGGCTGGTTCGTTCCCTGTCCTCCACCATTCTTCAGGGATCAGTGAATATGCCAAGAAACCACAGAAATAGTGATTACAGTTGAAACCGGTAAGTCAAAGCTATCTTTAATAAAACATATGCAAAAATTACACTAGGTACGTGCTCTAAGTTAAAGAAAAGGCATTGAAATATTTTCAGTGCTGTATTATTTCTGGCAATTGCAGAACAGGCACATTCCTCTGCTTATGTGAGTCATATCCACTATCCTGAAGGCTCATGAAAAATAACAAGAGTAAAGAACTGCATAGGGTCATGGCGCAGAACGGGTTACACCAGAGTTTTTCTCATTCAAGTAGCTTTGCTTGTTATACCAATGCAGGGATAAAGAAAGAGAAGGGGGAGTAAGTGATCTTTATATCATTACTAAAAGAAATGGAACCTTCAGATCACACGTTCTCCCTGGAGAAAAAACAAAATGCAACAAATATACATGATCAAAACATTGTCTTTTCAAAACACAACAGAATGATAGCCACAGTCTGATACGTATTCCATCTACTTTGACAAGAGCTGGAAAATCCAAACCTGTTCAGTTAAGCTAGTTTCTTTCTGTAATATTCACCATCCTTTAGAAAACAATCAGTGTTACACAGTTTAAAACCGAAATGCACCTTAAAGAATGCACTAATCACCGGTCACTCTGTAGACTGTGGTAATTAAGTGAATCAAGATCTTCCCCTGAGTTTTGGAATCAGCTCCTTACTCAGCTGCTACATTGTCAACAGCTGGCATGAATTACTGGGAACATTTGGCTAACTGGATAATAAGGAGGACAGCCTGTGGTTGGTCCAAATTCAACTTCACTGATCTGCTTCAATAAAAAAAAAAAAATCTCATTAGATCCTCCTTTTCTTTTTTTAAAGCTATACCGACACTACAAAGATTAGGTTTTCTATTTTATTCCCTCATTATGTGCAAACAATGTAACTGTACAACTCTCAGATGTTGCATGGGCTAGTGCAACTGAAGCCCCAATTCTCTATGATTTAATAATGCCCGTTAGCAACACTGATTCATCCTCACCCATATCACATCTCTCTCTTTACTGGTGTGGTAAAGGTTTGCTACTCTGAATATATTTTTCTACTTGCTCGCAATTCATCAGCACAGATCACAGTAACCAAACCCCCAAACTCTGCTTCCATCTAGCTTACTGAAGAGAAAATATCCATGAGACCAAGCTTCCTCCAAACCGCGGCTTTGTTACAAGGTAAAGCCAAATTATATTACAGCCCTGCAAGCAAAGGCCACCCATTGTTACTGTGTGACATTATTTGCTTTGTGCCTGTGCAGCTATCAACTCCTCTCCAGAAATCAGTGTAGGAACCCAGTCCTAGTGGAGCAGCATGCACCAAAGCGATTTTGTGCATGGTCTCTAGTGGGTCCCCAACTTCCAGAGGCATCTTTGCCACAGGAAGCTGTGGGGAGCAGACACATTTACTAGGCAGTCCTCCTCCTTTTCCTTTCAACAGGTTGCAGGGAATCTGAAGAAAACAACTTCTCAGATTATAGTCCCTGGAGAACTGCTCAAATCAAGAACAAGTCTGATATAAAGCAATTACCCTATTATTGCCAGGCATTAACAAAACCCCCAAGTATTTAGGTAAAGTCTGCATGCATGTTACATAGTCAGAGCATTCAGTTACAGCTGTCCTTGAAAAATATTGGATTATCCACTGCCTTTCCTTCCAAAAACAAACACTGAAAGTGCTGGCTTTTTTTCCTCTTTGATCAAAACAGCACTGTAACTTTTGAGGTAGCAGAGGATTAGTCCAATGTAATATCACGGCTAAAGCTAAAAACAAACAAAAAAGCTAAACCAATTTTAATTTTTTTTTTTTTTTAATCTTTGCTGAGACTATTCTCAGACATCTCATGAATTCTAACAAGCATCATGTCAGTATCAACATCTGGTAGCTTGGTGGTATGGTAACCTACACTTTTGCCGTGAGCTACCAAACAGATGTTGCTGAAAGGCTTTTTAATTTAGAAGGGCTTGTTTCATAAAATTATCAAAGGTATTTCAGTAACTCACATTTGTGTTATATTGTACTTGATTGGGATAACAAGAAACACAGAACAGTATTAGAATTCACACATCATTACCGTTACAGTGAGGGCCATCACTTGTGCATCATTCTTTTGCAGAGAAAGCAATCTAAGCGAAGGTCAAGCCAGCAGGATAAATGTGGCTACTTTCTGGATTTCAATCATGCCAGTCATAAGTAAGTCACCTTTTGAAAGGTAGTTAATCCTTGCTGTAGTGGCTAGAATTTAATAGCAGGCAATTGTGGCAGGGAAAAATTATAAATAGCTTTTAGATTCTTCCAGTCTTTTATACCCACACACTGTTACAGTGATTTCCAAGAGAATTTGTACTATGACAATACAGAATAATGTATAATATTGGGGGAAGAGGAGAGAGAAAAGAACAACACATACTGTTTTAAAAAGTACATTTTCCAAGTAATGCGTTTTATAACTTAAAAAAAACACAAGAAAAAAAAAAACTGTTGATGGGTAGCCTTTTCTAAACATAAACTCTTATTTAGAAGAGCTGGTGCAAGAAAAGAAATCCTAAATGTAATAGATAATTTAGTACTTTCAGACTCAGAAATTTCCCTCCAATCCACACAGACACTGACTCTACAGCTCAGGGCTCTACTACAGGAAAAAGTGGGCATCAGTGGCACAAGAGGGAAGGCTCACATGAGAGAATCTGATCTCCCCTCCAGCTTCTTATCCTACCATAGGCAACACACACCCTTACCTCAACAAGGTCCAACTGGTAACAAGAGGAAAACTGTCAGCAGTGTTTTGTGAGGAAACATAATGGAGGATTTCTGTAGGAGATCCTACTAACAGTCTAAAGCAAAAGGAAAAGCAAGAAGCTGGCATCTTAAGAAAAGAATGAAGGCGGTTCATGTTCTTTAAAAGAGAAAATGAGACAAAAGCAGGAAATGCTGTCCTTCCCTTATCCTGAGAACTTCTTAATGAAAGGTCAAGTATAGCCATCAATCAAGATAAGGAAGAGAGGACCAAAGAGATGACCTTCTTTGAGGGGAAACAAGTATGTATCAGATAGCACTTTTACATTGATGTGGTCCTCCTCTGTCTATGTGAGAGAAAAAGAGAACACAGTTTCATGCCAAGGTTTAAAAAAAAAAGTGAAAATTAAGCACTTGAGATAGAACAAATACAGACATGCAAGAGCCTATTAAGTCAAAGACTAGCAGCCAAGGAAAAGCCTCCTTCCAAAATGTGTGAGGAGTGCAATGGAATTCTATTCCTCACCACTCCCGCAGTTTGGCACTTGGCTTAGGAGATGCACCTCCTGGGGGCAGCCACCCTCACTAGTTTGTTACTGATAAGCTGCAGGACTCATTACACGCACTTTAAAGTTTGTTGCTTTTCTGAAAGACAATAATCCATTTTCAGTCATGCTTGACCTCACAGTTACAAGATTCATTTGCAATATTTTGCTGTGAGTTATGCTTATGATGTCATCTTTGGGATGAAAAATCAGACTGTGTGGAATCGCATCTAAAGTAGATAAAAATCATATATCCATCAAAATCAAATGTAAGCATAAATACTTCTCAAACATAAGCCTTATACAGTTACCCTTTGCTGGCTTTCTTAGCCAACAACCATTCATTTCTATTTCTTGGGCTAGTTTTAAAACATGGAATTGTTTCAGTATCACTCTTCAGAGAAAAAATAACAAGTTTACCAGCTCTCGAGGTAGAAAGGCCTCCTCCTGACGAGCCACAATGAGACAGACAGTTTCCCCTTGCTTTGTGCTCCTCAGCATACCTACAAGCTCTTCCTGGGTCCTGCCAGTGATGTCCCGTCCATTCACCTACCAGACACAAAAGAACAGATAATGTCATATCTGTAAGTATGACTGTCTTTTCTCATTATCACCTTACCTAACACAGGTGTCAATCAGTGACTGAGAGCAAAGAAGAATTAGCAACAGCTCCCACACTGTCTCCCCCTCTGGCCCTGCAGAAATCACATAACCTTTTTTCCCTTATTTTCACCATCTGTTAAAGCAGGTCGGTAGTACTTAACCACCTTGCAGGGCGCTTGTGAGGCTTAATTAGTTTGTAAAGCACTTTGAAGATGAAAAGTATAAAAACAAGACCTAAGTATTATTAAAACTGTTTACCTTAAGAGCTTTTTGAGGTTAGTAAGTAGAAATAACCCATTAGAGACTATAAATCACAAGATATCTGAAAATTTTAAACAGACAGATTTAAGCAAAATTGCCTTCAAACAAGCACTTAACCACCTCAGTATTAATCAAGAGATTTTTGGACATGGCTGAAGAGGCAAGATATGTTTTGTTTCTAAACTGAAACATTTATCTGCTTTAAGAACCAAGTTGTTATCAGATCCCCCTTCTTCAAACATCCCATGGACACTTGTGAAAAGCACCTTTTTCCAAATCACGGTGTAAAATACTTGTTGACAAACAAAAATCATGAAACTTATTTTTTTTAAACCAAGGTAAAGAATTCTAATTCCACACATCACTAGTATATATGAGAAAATAAAATATTTATGCCAAAACTAGCGATCAATAACCAGCAATGCAAATACAATGGATGTTTATCCTAACCTCCAGGATTCTGTCTCCTGACTGCAAACGACCATCTTTTACTGCTGCACCTTTTGGTAATATATTCTTCACAAAAATCGGACCAGGACCATGTACTGAAGAGTCTCTGGTAACCACAGTGAAACCAAGTCCTTCTGGTCCTAGAAGGTCAGATAAAGAGCTCCCAACATAAATTTCAACAAGCAAATGACGATCATTAAAAGTAAGTAAACAATGTCAGTAACATATCACAGACACGCACTCAGGTTAGCTCTTAAAAAAACAAAGCAAACAAAAAGCTGTAAACATGAGCCTGTTTTCGGCATGGTCTAAAGAAGAATTCTGTCAATGTCAGAACACATGTCCACATCCTCCTGCAACAGCTACAGATGGAAATACTTTGGGAGAGCCCACAATAATACAAAACAAGCGAGTACTGTCATTTTAAAGCGTTTACCTTTTCTCTAGGTGGTTTTAGTATCAGCCTTCAAATTAACGTCAATAGTCTTTGAAACAAATCAGAGCAATCAGAATTGTTTATTTATGAGCATAAATACAATTTAGCAGGTTTTACTGAAACTTGGTGAAAAGCAGAAAATGTCACCTGATTTGAATGCAAAAACTGCTGACTACCTGCTGTTAAGAAAGGACAAGTGATATTTCAAAGCTTCCATTTGTGAAGTTGTTTGCTGCTTGGAAATAAACAACCTCCAGTGCTAACAGATAAATGTTTTAACAAATATTTAGGAAGTGAAATCAATATTAGCAGGTATTGCTTATAAGCCACCAAAATGACCCAGGAATAGCAGGATCCATAAAAATCTTTTTATCTTGAGCAGGATTGCTACCCATGTGATAGTTTTCAGAGATACCATGTCAGTATCACATTCCTATCTTTTGTAAAAATATAAATTACTGTTTCAAAATCAAAAGCATTACATCTGAAATGGCAAAAATTCTGAAGTAGGTTTTGTTAATGCAGAGCTGAAGATTTCAGAAAAATGAGTGACTTAAGTTAAGAAATAACAAAAATTAAGAAATGACAGCTTGATTACATTCATTATGTGTTAAAAGAAAAAAGTTACAGACAGTTTTTGAAAGGGCCACTTCTAGCATCAAATTTAACTCTCAGCCAAATCAGAGACAGAAATTAAACAGAAAATATAAGCGCTAATTGGGATCTGCTTAAGCACATTTTACTACATGTGCATAAACCTGTTACTCCATGCAAAGACAGACATCTGCATGGAGCAGCAATTAAAGATACACACACAAAATTCGGCCTGCTGACAGCTGAATAAATACAGATGGAAAGAAAAGGTTTCAAAGAATCACAGAATCGTTTAGGTTGGAAAAGACCTTTAAGATCATCAAGTTAACCTAGTACTGCCAAGTCCACCACTAAACCATGTCCCTCAGTGCTACATCTACGTGTCTTTTAAGTATCTCCAGGGTTGGAGACTTAACCACTTGCCTGGGCAGCCTGTTCCAAGGCTTGACAACCCTTCTAGTGAAGAAATTTTTCCTAATATCTAACCTAAACCTCCCCTGGCGCAACTTGAGGCTGTTTCCTCTCATCCTATCACTTGTTACTTGGCAGAAGAGACTGACTCCCACCTCACTACAACCTCCTTTCAGGCAGTTGTAGAGAGTGATAAGGTATCCCCTCAGCCTCCTCTTTTCCAGGCTAAACAACCCCAGTTCCCCCAGCGGCTCCTCATAAGACTTGTGCTTGAGACCCTTCACCAGTTTTGTTGGCCTTCTCTGGACACGCTCTAACACCTCAATGTCCTTCTCATAGTGAGGGGCTCAAGACTGAACACAGTACTTGAGGTGGGGCCTTACCAGTGCTGAGTACCGGGGGACAATCACTTCCCTACTCCTGTTGGCCACACTATTCCTGATACAAGCCAGGATGCTGTTGGCTTTCTTGGCGACTTGGGCACACTGCTGGCTCATATTTAGCTGGCTGTCAACCAACACCCCCAGGTCCTTTTCCACAGGGCAGCTTTCCAGCCACTCTTCCCCAGGACTGCAGCGCTGCATGGGATTGTCGGGGCACACTGCTGGCTCATATTTAGCTGGCTGTCAACCAACACCCCCAGGTCCTTTTCCACAGGGCAGCTTTCCAGCCACTCTTCCCCAGGCCTGTAGCGCTGCAGGGGATGGTTGTGACCCAAGTGCAGGACCCGGCACTTGGCCTTTTTGAATCTCGTACCATTGGTCTCAGCCCATCAATCCAGTCGTCCAGATCGCTCTGTACAGCTTTCCTACCCTCAAGCAGTGTTGATCTCCCACCTAACTTGGTGTCATCTGCAAACTTACTAAGGGTGCACTTGATCCCCTTGTGCAGATCGTTGATAAAGATATTAAACAGAACCGGCCCCAGTACTGAGCCCTGGGGAACACCACCTGTGACCGGCCACCAACTGGATTTAACTCCATCCACCACAACTCTTTGGGCCCAGCCTTCCAACCAGTTTTTTATCCAGTGAACACTATGCCCATCCAAGGCATGAACAGCCCATTTCCCCAGGAGAAAGCTGTGGGAAATGCTGTCATAGGCTTTGCTAAAGTCTAGGTAGACAACAAGTCTAGGTAGCCTTTCCCTCATCCACAAAGCAGGTCACCATGTCACAGTAGGAGATCAGGTTAGTCAAGTACGACCTGCCTTTCATGAACCCACCCTGACTGGGCCTGATCACCTGGTTGTCCTTTATGTGCTGTGTGATAGCACTCAAGATGATCTGTTCCATAGCATTCCCAGGCACCGAGGTCAGACTGACGGGCCTGTAGTTCCACAGATCCTTCTTCCGACCCTTCTTGTGGATGGGCGTCACATTTGTTAACCTCCAGTTAACTGGGACCTCCCTGGTTAGCTAGGACTGCTGCTAAATGATGGAAAGTGGCTCAGTGAGCACTTCCGCCAGCTCCCTTGGTACCCTTGGGTGGATCCCATCCGCTCCGTACGCTTGTGTGTGTCTAAGTGCTGTAGCAGTTCACTAACCATTTCCCCTTGGTTTACAGGGGCTTCACTCCGCTCTCTGTCTTTCAGTTCAGATGGCTGAGTACCCAGAGAACAACTGGTCTTAAGACAGAGGCAAAGAAGGAATTAAGTACCTCAGCCTTTTCCTCATCCTTTGTCAATGTTTCCCCCCATATCCAATAAAGGACAGAGATTCTCCTTAGCCCTCATTTTGCTGCTAATGTATTTACAGAAAAAAATGTAATTGTCTTTTATACCATAGCCAGATTAATTCCTAGCTGGGCTTTGTCCCTTCTATCTTTCTCCCTGCAAAACCTCACAACATCCTTGTAGTACTCCTGAGTGGCCTGCCTCTTCTTTCAAGGATCATGAACACTCCTGTTTTTCCTGAATTCCAGCCAAAGCTCTCTGTTCAACCAGGCAGTCTTCATCCCCACTGGTTCATCTTTTGGCACATGGGGATGGCATAATCCTACGTCTTTAAGAATTCCTTCTTGAAGAATGAACAGCCTTCCTGGACTCCTTTGCTCTTCAGGACTGCCTCCCAAGGGACTCTATCAACCAGCATCCTAAACAGGCCAAAGTCTGCCCTCCAGAAGTCCAAGGTAGCAGTTCTGCTGATGCCCCTCCTTACTTCTGCAAGAATCTAAAACTCCATCATTTTGTGGTTGCTATGCCTGAGACAGACTCCAACTGTCACATCACCCACAAGTCCTTCTCTGTTTGCAAACAAGAGGTCCAGCGGGGTACCTTCCCTAGTTGGCTCAACTCACCAGCTGTGTTAGGACATTATCTTCCACATGTTCCTAGACTGTTTCCTCTCCACTATACTGTATTTCCAGCAGACATCTGGTAAGTTGAAGTCACCCATGAGAACAAAGGCTAGCGATTGTGAGACTTCTAGCTGCTTATAGAATATTTTGCCTGCCTCTTCATCCTGGTTGGGTGGTCTATAACAGACTCACTCCATTATATCTGCCTTGTTGGCCTTCCCCCTGATTCTTACCCATAAACACTCAACCCTATTGCCACCATCATTAAGCTCCATACAATCAAAACACTCCCTAACATAAAGGGCTCCCCCACCACCTCTCCTTCCTTGCCTATCCCTTCTGAAGAGTTTATAGCCATCCACTGCAGCATGCCAGTTATGTGAGTCATCCCACCATGTTTGTAGAAGATAAAAAGCGAAAGACAGGTAAATCTGTGGTAAACTTCCTGGATAATGTGAAACAGAGTAGAGTAAGTTTTTAAACATATCTGTGAAAGAATATCATAACTGTGCTGGTCAATTAGCACATTTGAATAAAAATAACATAGGTTACCAGCAGACAGTTCAAATTTTTATTCTATACTTGCGAAAAGGCTGAATCATCTCTTAATATCACATGCTGCTAATGAAATACCTTCCACATAATCAGTAACTGAGAAGTTTTAAAAATTAGTAAGCCTGGATAACATGCATCCAAAATTTACGAGAAAGCTGACTGTTGAGAATGTTACTGTTAACATTCCTTTACCTTTTGGAATACGCTTTCACCTTTTGGAAGTCTTGGAACTCTTAAACTTGCTTGTACTTTTAATGACACTAGTTTAATTAAAAGTTAAGGTATCAATATAGAGAACTCAACACAGAATTAATCATACAATCTCCAAAAGACTTACCTTTTTTCAGGTCTATCTTTATTTTCTTTGCATTTTTTTTATTGCCAAAGCCCATAAGGGGTGATAATGAGGGAGAAGAGGGCTTTCTAACCAGACGTGGGAGGTTGGGGCTCTTAGCTTGCTGTAGTGTTGCCTGTACACCTGCTTCCAAGTTGCTTGCTCCAGAAAGATTAATTGTTTTCAGAGCAGGTTTTGGATGAACAGGAGGTGGAACCTTTGTTTTTGGAACTCCTTCTTCATTATCCAGAAAACAAAGGGGAGCAATAGCAGATTTCTCATATTGTTCTCGATTATATGGAGGAAGGACTTCCAAGATGACACTTTGAAATTTCATTGCCTGACGGAAGATGTCCTGAGCCCTTTAAAAGAAAGGTATGAAAATTCACATAACAAACCAGAAAATTTGGGCAAAGTTTGGAGTTGTTTACAGAGAATAAGACAAAAATTTATCTTAAACATGAAGAAATAACCTTACCTTCACATGTACACGGTCCCTTTTCTAAAAAAGTATGCATGAAATAAGACTTCTAAACCACAGCATTTCCTTATGTTTCAAGTAGGAACAGCACATCTGTCAGGACTGCTAGGCTGCTATGAAAACATATCAGCCAGAAAAAACTAATGAACACAATTCTTCATGTGGCGCAACAGGAAGGGAAGTTCTGATGGCAAAAGCTCCTCAAAAGACTCCTGAAGTTATAGCTTGCTACTTTTTTCAAGTGTTTGCCTGTTACATATTTTCTTGTTGGCACAGAGACACGCTGAGCACTGATGACCAATTGCTCCAGTGGATACATCTACTATGAGCAAGCTCAACACTCCATTTTTTCCCCGAGTACAGATTAACTGCCCCTCAGATTCCTTCATCATCCCTAATGCAACTGCTAGCTGATTTCACACCAATAAAAAAGGATGAAAGCATGGGATATATGCACATCTTTAGAAGAAATATTGTGACTGCAAAGGGTGCAATAGAAAAGGATGATGGTATGGGATATATAGACACCAGAAGAAAAGCTGGTGACCACGAAAGGTGTTTCTACATAAATGCATAAATGAATAGGTAGGTATTACTCACATCTTTCAAGCAGTAATCTCTTGCTAAGGTGGATATGTGGACTTTACTTAATCAATATCTTTACTGATGTGCTCAACTGCAAAACCAGAAACTGTGTTGGAACATTTAGTGAAACTGCTCCCCTTGAACTGATTAACATGGTAACAACAGTGTTGGGGTTCCCACAAAGGCAATTAAGGCATGTTGGCCAAAGCAACTGTTCATACAGCCTTCCCTGTATTTTTAATAATGCATAGATTTGGTCAATCAAGACATTTTACAAACCCTGGATTTTAAAGGAACAAAGGGGACTTCTCTCTTCCTATGCTTTCCTTTCCTACCTTCTGAAGAAGTTGACTGAATTTCCTTCATACTGCAGAAGTCAAGTAGAAACAGAAGTAGTAGCTGAAGCACATTTTGAGAATGAAAAAAATCAAGAACTTCTGCTTAGCAGAATCAGGTCAAGAGGGGAAGTAATGGCCACATGAATTTTTAAATAAACCATGGGGTCTTTTTGAGAACAATTTACATATCTCCTACCTTTCTCTAGTGTTTTTCAGTCAGGCAAAGTCAGTATTTCACTGAAGTCTTGGCTTTGGATTTATACTCAATTATGCAACAGGAGCCAATGTTGAAATTACTTCTGAAATAAACAGGTTTTTACACTGATACAGAAAGAAAGCCACCGCAAACGTTAACATTTTGAATACACACCTACTGCTTTCCCAGATCAACAGAGCCACACAGTACTTCCACCTTCCAGCTGCAGGTAGTGGAAGGGAGGGGCTGTTTCAAGAGGGTTTTTTTGCAGCATGGAGACACTGAAGTCAGGAGGCAGTGCCAATGGATACTGCTGTGGGAAAGAACTATCTTGGCTACACTGAGTGTACATGCACCAAGAGTCAGAATAACCGCGTTCATTGACAGGAGACACTGTCAGAAGAGAAAACTCAAACCTGGAAAAGAAAGGTAGCAGGGAGAGTGTTGTGGGAAGGTATTCTTCCAGCACCACTCTCAAGGGTTAAGTTTAAGAATTGTAACAGCGCTGTCCCAATGTGTCTGCAGAGGTTACAGTCACCTGCTCGCCTATAGCCTGTGAAGCTTTTCAAGGACAGACCTTAGCCTGATCGTAGAAACGATGTCATGCTCCCAGCACGAGGATGTAAAACCTTAAGCAGGGTTCTTTCACACTCTGTCTTTATTCTTGCAAGTAGCCACTTGGCCATATGTTACAAGGTAATTTAATAACTCGGTTTCAAGAGATGAATATTTTAAATATATGAAAGAGAAAATATAAGATCTCCTTCAAACAAAAAATAGTGGAAATAACACAAGACATCCTGTGGGAAAGCCTAAATGCGGTCTTCAGGGGCAAAATAACTGGCTGCACTTCAAAGAGAAAAAATAATGGATGGAGAAATTTACATTTCTTGAGACCCCAAACGCATACTTTAAAGAAATAAGGGAGTCAATTAAAAGAGGTGCTAGAAACTCTGCAACACAACAGAATGTAATTGAATAGATTAACAGCAAATGAAAAAGCAGACTAACAGTCCCAATATATAAAACTATTACAAACATGGGAATACAGAAAGTAGGCTGCTGCTATTACAGCTGCAGAAGCAGCAATCATCAGGAGCAATACTAGAAAGTCTCTGTTGAAAACGGAAGAAGACAGAATGTAACAGTCTCTGCTAAGTGTTAAAACAGCTTTTACAAGGGTTATGAAGAAATGTCAACTTGAGACTAGCAAACAGATCTTCCTCTCAAAGGAGAATCTGATGACTATTTCTGGGTCAATAGTCATTGGGACAATACTTTGTCACATCCATTAAAATTACTGTATTTCTGTAACTTGGACTGTCAGATTAGTACAGTTATGTCATGCCAGATGAAAACTAAAAGGCATATTCACTGAGATTAGCTTCAACCCAGAAAGCTGCTTTCTTTAGCCATTCTCAACAGCCAGGGAAGAGAGATGATGGAGATAGCTATTCTGGAAGGCAAATCAGGAAAACAACGTAACAGGACTTGGGACCTGGCTAGAGCTTGTCTAAAATACTCCCCCTAGTCCCCAAAAGGATGTTGAGTCCTCACTGCCCAGTTTCCCTCCTCAGATCCAATGCCACTGCAACCACAATACTCGTTATTGTAACATAAGGTGAATTAGTCCAACTATATTAGGCTCTGCTCTGAATCACCTTTTAGTCACTACTCTCTTTCACTGTCCCTGACAGACAGGTCGCCTAACATGACCGGCCTCTCTAAACTAACAATTGTCTTTGTAAATATCCCTTCCAACTCCCAAAACTTTACACAAACTTGGAGAAAGCAACGTGTCCTGCATTTCTCATTTTGAAGGGAAGACTGATGGAGAACTGGAAAGTTTACTGCAACATTTCTGACTCTCTCTAAATCTAGTAACCTTACAGAAAAGTACATGGAGTCCTACACTCCACAGACATCTCATGGCCTTAAAGCCTCTGGAGATCTAGTTACATTCTGAAGAGAACGCAAAGGAGACAATAAGTGTGTAAAAAAAAAATCAAATAAAATTTTGAAAAAACAGGTTTTTATTCATGCAAAATCTCATTTGAGAAGGTTAAATCTTCATTACAAAACTGCGCAGGTGAGGCAATCAACATTTTAATGACACCAACACTTATGTTCTGATGAAGTTGGTACCTATGTAGGAACTTTCCATGGGTGGAAGAGAATGGCATGTACTACATCACATCAGAATACATTTACCACCAAATATTCAGAAAACAGTAACTTGAAAACCTATCAGAAGGAAAAAAGCACAGCCTCAGAATCAAGGTAATACCTACTACAGAACTACACTGGTTTTATGAAAACCTATTTTGCAAATATTTATCCCTAACAGTGAAATTACTTATTTGGTTTTAGTAGAAAACTTGAACATTTGTCTTACTGTTTAGAAAGTTAAGCCTCAACTCCCTCGAGATCTCAATAGGTTTTTGTTATATTATAAACAATCACTCAGCTGTCTAAACATATGGATTAAAAGTAAAAACAAATTACTATTTAATTACTACAGCAAATATATGTGAAATTTGAAAGGCTATTCTTTCGTGCAACAATGTCACATTAATTCACAGCCGATCAAAGCAACCTGTTACTTAAAGTAATTTGAGATAGATAATAAATGTCAACAGATTTTTAATAAAAGTCATAAGAGGCGAGACTCACCATTTAGCCCAACTTATCATAGTTTGACAGTACTAGTATTTTTATAATATTAAATGCTCAAAAAGCTGCAGCACCAGAAAAAAAAAAGCTTATTTCATCTGCAAAAGAACATCAAAAAACATGCTGCCATGTTGACTCATTCTGAAGGTCTTATGAGGAACACATTAAAAAGAAAATACGGAAAAAACAACAGAAGAATTAGAAAGTGAAGATAACTATTAAAAACCTTAAAGCTATTTAAATTAGCTAAGCACAATAGGTTCACTAAGACTACTAGAAGATTCCTCTCTTCACATTTCACCTAATTTGCCGGTTTCAGAAAGAATATTACAAAGTTTCTGCCAGCTATCAATTTTATAGGCATTTTATCTGAAATAAATATTAATCCCTTCGCATTAATCACTTAATAAACACAGCATTGTATAAAATCCTGGACAGTTAAAAGTATCAGTAAACCAGCACTTACTGTGCAAAGGTTTTATCTGTAAGGTCCACATGGTTAATCTTCACAATGCATTCATTCTCATGGAAAAGCCCATCCCGCCTAGATCTGCTATTTTCTTCAATACCACGGATGAAGAGTCCCAGCATCCTAAAAGGAAAAAAAAAAAAAAAAGTGAAAACTATCCTTTATTCTGCTGGAATGAATTTATAGCAACTAAAAATAGATATTAATCTCTACTGTGTATGAGATGAGATAGACCATTATGAAGTGCTTAAGCTAGAGAAAGGATTTCTAGCTCACTCTTTAACTAACAGGGAGGGGATTGTAAGAAACACCAAGAAAAATTGCTGGACACTAGTGCTACACTACTTTCTAGAACTTCAGGAAGCATTAAGTCCTGTCGGTCGCACAGAGAGGAAAACACCTAGATCTCCCCATCCAGTTAAAAACTTGAAAGTAGCTTATGTAATATTTGTCTGCCATTAAGTAAGATTACACTGCTCCAAAGAAAAGCACAAACAGATTAAAAGTAATTTTCTAACTCAACTATAATAAGCTAGAATAAGATAAAAAATAACCACTATTTCTATGTTTGAAAAGCCTCTGAAACTTTTCCATTTCCAAAGCTCCTTGTTTTTGATACATGACAGCATTACTATTTATCTATGTGGCAGGAGAGCGGCAGAACATCAAAGCTTAAATTGTTTGCTACCAGGTTATGTGCAAATTGAAAACTGAGGTGTGGCACAGAAACTTCTGACGATGCATTAAATGAACAAATGTGGGTGGTACAAAATTCCAGTGTGGCTAACTCTGCTGGGAGCACTGGGCTATTTCTGACCTACCCGGAGCATCTCTGTATTGCAGACTGCAATTCAACATAGATATATAAAATGATACCAGTATAATGTCCAAAAATACCTGACAACTATGTTTTTGTGAATCAAGTTTTAGCCACTAAATTTCCACACCACATCACCATCAGACAGATGACCTTTAGAGAACATTTTCTATTGGTTAAATGCCATTAAATATTAATGTGCAATTTCCAACATGCCATCACTCCAATCATAAAAAAGGTCTTGTATTTTTTCCACGGATTCATGACTGCCCCTCATATTTAAGTCCATTCAACAGATTCACAGCACACCATTAACTATTTCAAATGACACTATATTCATCATCCATCTGATTTTAGATTTACTGAATAGTAAGTTTTAAAAATTTATATTTATGTCATATCAATGGACTTTCAAGGAAAACTTGGTTCCTATTGAATATTACTTCTTCAAAACATCTCACAGAAAAAAATTATTCAATCTACTGCATAAAGATTCTCTTGCAACCTGTGTCACCCTTCACTAAAGGATTCAAAGGGGCAGTGGTGGTGAGAGGCTGCAGCCCTATTGACAAACATCCAACTAGTGGCAATCAAAGAACTAAACACTAAGAACTAATGAAATATAATTATGTTACGATGCAAACCAATAAAAGAAGAGAAAGAAAAGAAATTACAAATTAAGTCAGTTCTACGATCTTCACTAATCCAGTTGTGTTTAGATGCAGTATTCATATAATGCAACAGGATTGCCCGCTTGTCTGAAACCCATCCGTGCTGTAGTACCCGAATGAGTGGCCAGGAGTTACATATGCTGTGGCAGCTTAAATTCATTGCTCCATTACTTTTTTCCACAGCCTCAATTTTAGCATTATTTTAACGCACTATTAAATTTTAATTTCATTTTTTTAATGATATCTAGGTGCAAAAGAGAGGGGGAAAATTATTTCCATTAGTTTTGTAGTTTCTGTATAAACTAAGATTTTCTAAATTAATGTTTTAACTACCTCTAGAAAAATTTTGCTCTGCAGAAGCACCAGGCTAAAGCCAGCGTTACCTTATTAGAAGATAACTTTACAATTGAAATACCAGACCAAGTTAGTCATGGCCAGTGTGCCCCCATAAATTGTATCTTATCATTAACAGAAATAAAAGATGCTCTTCTGTACTTTCTCAAATTATTATGAGTTAAAATTTATACACTAGTCTCGGGCTTGATTAAATAAAAGGGACAAGCGATTTAAGTCACTCTAGTGCTTTTACAAAGATATCAGTGTGGTTCTGCCAAGGGCCATTAAAATTAAAAGACAACTGTCTAAACAAGTAGCCCATCTGTCAAAAAACTCTTTTCTCCGAGGGATCTCCAAAAGCATTTGTAAATAAGGACATACTAACACGCACGCAATGTAGACAAAGGAACTCCACTTCTTCACGGAGGTCTTTAAAAGCTGCACCCAACACAGCAATACTTCAGTACAGAACTGTATTACAGTCACAATAATCACTGATTTTAAAAGCTTGCCGTTTTGTGACATTTTTTACCAAATGAACTTGAAATACAGTGTACAAACTACAACCTTTAGGGCACGCCTATAACAAAGAACTACTGTCTGCATTTCACAATGGGGTAACAAATACAAGTGCCTTTCTTAAGACAAACAGGCAGCCTGCAAAGCCAGGGACACAACTCAGACCTCCTACAGTTCCCATCGAAGATCAACTTTCTTCCTGAGACATTTTTTCCAGGCAGCAGGTGGACATCTATTTTCCCTTTTAGCAAATAAAACATTCTGAATGAAGTTGGGTCCACTTACAAACTCAGATCTCGCTGAGAAAACATTTACGCACACAGACTTTTACAAGGCAATTTAAACCTTCATGTTCTCTGTCCTACATGAAAGTTGACAAATAAAGAAACATTTAAGAATTATACAATTTTTACTTTTGCGATAATTGTCTTTACGTTACAAGCAGCTATTTTACTACAAAGTACTGTCATTTATGGCACTAGTGATTTCCCATCTCTTATTCAGGGATGCCAGTGTTGAATTAAGTCTCTGGCTAACCCTCTGTATGTCAAATTTCAACCCAGATTTTTTTTTTTTTTTTTTTTTAACATCTGAGTTACATAGCTTGGAAAACAGTTGTAATGAAAATGCTGACACAGTCTTAACTACAGTATATCAATATGAGCATGCTGCTATAATAGGCTTTTGTGATCTCAAGAGACTATGTTAAATCATTTATAATTAAAGTAATCGTATTGTGACAAAGAAAGGCTCATGGTATAGTGCACATTTTTATAAATGCTATACAACCAAATCGGAAAGGTGGCTTGAAAAATATGAAGCAAATTTTTTGGTTTTTCTTGTCTGACATGTCACTAAGGAAGGGCCTATGCAGAGAAATCCAACTGGGGAAAAAAAAAACCCAACAACAAATCCAAACAAAAAAAACCCCCACACGCAACCAAAAAACAAACTCCACACCCACAAAACCAACCCAACAGCCCCCACACGTTTAGTATTACATTATTCTGCAAAAAGTCTAGTTTACTATTCAGAGAATAAAAACAGGGGCAATTAAAAGGACATACATGAGCAAAGGGTTGGTATTATCTTATATGTAACTTAGACTAGTAAATATTTTGGTAATGGAACACAGTGTCATAGACTCAAGTCCCCATTTTCTTTTAAGCATTTCTTTTCCTTATGGTTAAATAGTAAGTATTTTAAGAGAGCCACAACTGAAATCCTTTCATTAATATACTTCTTGAACAATGCAGACAATAGCTTACCTTCCACTCAAAGATGAAAAAAACGGCACTACATGTATTCCCAAGGGGCCACCTTCCCCAGAAATCTCCACTGTTTTTGTCATTTCACTAAAAAAAGAAAAGCACAGGGAAAACACATCTCATATGCTTCTTCACAGAATTCTCTATGCTAAAAACCAATTCCTAGTTGATCAGGGAGCAGAAAGAACAGAAAAAAATATTAGACTGAGCACGCTAATACATAAAAATACGATGAAATGTAAAAAAGCTATCAAATTCTTTAATTACATTTTTTTATGAGGATTTGTGTACTTTGAAAGGGTAAGACACCAAATACTAGACATTTTCCTAAGTCAACCTGTAAGTAAATTAACCAAAAAAATGAAAGAATAAGATTTTAAGTCAGGAGAGACTTCATCATTAAAAAAAAATAAATTATTCTACGTGTTCTTAATTTAAACTTCACAGGAGCTGCTTCAGTCAATTTCCCCGTGTGGACACATCATAAACATGAAGATCACACATTAAGGACATCAAACCAATAAGCAAATTAGGCAAATCATATTTAAACATCTTTATTTCTGCCCTCAGTTGCATGCAACCTCATTGACAAAGAACAAAACAAACTGTAATGAAAAGTGCAACTCGGCTCATTTTATCAGGAAGTTTCCCTCTTAAATATCGTTATCAAAAACCTCTATATTATCTCTGACGGATTTTTGCTGTTTCATGGCTATGTGCTGTTTCATTTCCTATTGAGTATTTTACACTGCTAGCCTTATAGTGACCTTAACTCTATTCTGGGTGACCAAAATTTGAAAAGGAAGGTACTTGAATTGGCTAGAACGTCGAAAGGGGGGGAAAAAAAAAAAAAAGAAAAAAAGAAAAAGAGAGAGAGAGAAACAAGTCAGGTCTGTATTCTAGCAGATCACGTTCCTACTTTCTATGCTAGTCTACATCTTCTGTAACACCTCCTCCCCTCCAATCATACTGAACACCATCAACACTCAGGATTAGTGGCCAGTGGACTTCTATTGGGTATTTTGATTTATATTAGGACACTAATACATTCAAGCTATAAGAAGCCCTACGCTTGCACACAATCCTATAGTGTTTACAGAACACATAAAACTGAACCAAATGGCCACTTTATATACTGCCATGATTTAAATGCTCAGTCTAACTGATGCAAATGCAGGCAGCTGTTGAGAAAGACTTCTGACCTTTCTCCAAACATCATACAACAGATCTAGAGGGTGCATGTTTGCAAGATGAGAAAGATGACCAAGCCCCCAAATGATTTTCTTCCTAGCAGAACAATTTCCTCTGGGATCAGTTGACTGATCTCACTGACCCATGGTCTTATCATTGTTTGACTTGATGCAAGAAGCAACGCCCAGGTATAAGGGAGGAATCTGTGACTACCCTTGAAGTGGCAACACACAGTTACACCAGATCAGATACAACATAAAAACACATGGCACAGCTAAGCGCGCTCTCTCTCTCTCAAGGAGGACAATTACTGCAAATGATCTTAGACAAATTCTGGCACTGCTTCCTAATAATGCAGGAATATTTATTAATTTTTTTTGTTACGAACATTTATTCAGTTGAATAATGATTAATCAGAAGTAATTTGCCCTAGACACAATAATTCTTAGCTTGGTTAGCTATATTTGGAATAAGACCAGAAAATAAGTTACATCATTTTCTTTTGGTTTTGGAGTTTGGGAGGGGTAGGGGTGGGTACGGTTTGTTTGTTGATAGTTTTGCGGAGGGTTTTTTCTGTAAATTATTCTTCGAAAAAGGCTGACATTAGAATGAATTTATATTCTATAAGAAAGAAATGGACAGACCCTGAACAACAAACCGCCACTGATCCCAACATAACATTTTCATGTTACTACATTTATAAGACAGGCACTATCATCAGGCATTTCTATTTGCTCATTTTTTGTTTCCTGTATTCCCCTCTCTTCATGAATCAAACAGGGAAATCCTGACAAAATCTTCCTGTAAGTTTTTTTAGAAGACATTTTTTCTAGTGAAACTGGTCAGAAAAGTTAATCAGGGTGGTTACCAAAAACTCAAAAATACACACATAGGAAATTAACTATTCTTTCAGTTCCATCTTCTGCTTCCTCCAATTCTCTTAACAGACACACACACACAAAAAAGATAAAAGGGCTACTTTTGTCTTTTGAACTTCTACAGAATCAAAACATATGAGCAAATTAAGTAGCCATATCCTATAGATCCAGAAAAATAATTGAAAATAGTGAATGAGCTTTCATATGTAGAGGAAAAATTTAAATAAGTTACAGTTGTCCCCAGATAACCCCATGTTGCTTGAATACTGCAGGGAAGAGTTGTCTTCCTAAACAACTGCAAAACAGAGCAGGATTTTTTTTTGAGGGCTATCACAATAGACAGGTTAGCTGTCATATTAAATCAATGCATTTACGGTTAAAAGTAGGCTCAAAGCCAAAGGAAACATACAAGTTTATTTTAAAATCTAACATGAAATCTACACACTAAGAAAAATAGGTTTCTTTGTGAAAATAAATAGCCCACATGTATATTGTGTATTATTTTTAAAAATATTGTGGTACATCCTGAAAGTTATGGATGTACTAAAGCACTAAATATCTAGAATAACAGCACATTATATGCATATATATAAAAGGTACTTGAGAATCATATTTTTAATCAAAAACCTATGCATCAGAATGACTTTTCATTCTCAAACAAATGTGATTCTTAGTTACATCTGTGAAGAAAACTGCCCTTCACAACAACTGTAATAGATACTGGAGGACATGATTTTTGTATTATACCTATGAAAGCCTGACAGTTAAAAAAATTTAAAAGCAAGATATCTGGGATTTGGCTTTTTTTTTTTTTTTTTTTGCTTAGGAACATCAAAGATTAGAGACTCAGAAAAATTTGGCATCATTCACTCTCACTGCCCATCTTCCAGCAGGTTTAATCCACCCACAAGAACAGCCGAATTCCAGAAGCGTACTATCCCACACTCTTCTGGAGAGACTATTCAGGAGCAGGGCAAGGGGGAATGAGATCCTAAACAGGATGAGCTTTAAAAATACTAATTACTAAAACTCCACAGGCACAAGGGACACCAAAGTGCCAGGATTTTTTAGTTTGACAGAGTCAGGTTAAAAACCAAAAAGAAGGGGGTGGGAGAACGCAGAATGTTTTTCCACTGCTGGTTGATAGCTGTGATATTGACAACAGAGAGGATAATTTATGGATTTTCTGCAATATTCAACATATTTTAAAAACAAACAAACAAACACCCAAAACAGAAAAAAAATTAAATTCCAAAAGTTAGTAACCTAGCAGTGGCCTACTATTTTAAATCTCCCCTATACATCTTAAATGCATTTTGCAGTAAAAGAAAAAAATTAGTCTGACCTATCAAGTCAGTATAAAAGACCTGGAGTCCAATTGCTAGCTGGGGATGAGAAGCTGGGAGCATCGGTGAGTGATGCCCAGAGGGTGCCTCAGTGTGCTACGCTGTTAGTACCTCCTGCATGTTCTTCAGGAAGCAGACAGAGCTCCTACCTCAGAAAATACTGCCCTTGCTGAGTTTGCAACCCAATTTCTATGGAATACGTGCAGATACGTTCTTACGGCAATCAAAATAAGTGAACTTTAAAAAAGTATTTATCTCAGTGAAATCTATCCAAACTGCAGGGTTCACCCCAACCAGAAACACAGCACTTAAGTTTCTTCAAATGCCTGCTGGCATCTCCCCTCCCCTTGCTGCACTAAAGGTGCCTCAGAGGTCTCAGTGAAGAGGAAACACCTGCCTAGCATGACCTGACTGTGGCATCTGGGACCACATTTAACATTGTACTATTGATTTTTAACCTGAAGAAGCTGTCATCATTTACTATTTAAATTCTTCATTGCTTGATGTTTATTGATTTCTGCCAGATTCTTTACAGTCTATCACATTTGTCAGGAAGGCTTGCCATGCATATTATTAAAAATGTTGATGAGTACAGTTTAGCAAAGACAGATAGAGAAGATGTACGCATTTGTGTAGTGAGCATGCACAGCAGCCCACTTGTAACATGGAAAGCAAAATTTAAATGGAGTGCTGCACATTCAGCGGTGCGTATTCAGTTGTGAATCAGTCTGATCTTCAAATTGGCCGTCCCCTTGCTGCTGAATACTACAGCTCCCTCTCCCGAAAACTGTATCAAGAATTAGCAGTTTGTCAGTTATGCCATGGGAAAAGATCTGTTAGCTGAAAGTTTCTCTGCAAACTATCCAAGAATACTGAAGAACCAATCTCAACCACCGAGTACACAGATGCTTAAAAGGGACTTCTCCAGAAATAAACGTTTTGGAGTTTTGCAGCAGGACTTGGTTTGCTAAGGTGCTTTGACCTTCCCAAATTACAAATGCTAGGAGAATCTTGGTAGGATTTCTCTTGAAGAATGCAGTAGATGCAGCCTAAAGCAGATTAATTGTTTTGCAATGTACTGAAGACAGTACCTCGGAAAAAGCTTTCTGCATGGGTTACTGGGCAAAACTTCTCATCATGTGTACATCGCAAGAATCACAAATGCCTGAGTAAATACAGATCAAGTATTTATCATTCCAATGGCATATTTTTTTGCTGTTTTAGTCTTATTCAAGACTTGCATGTAAGTCTTCAACCCAGGCGTAACATGACAAAGCAAAAACCTTTAAATAGATCATTGATTTCCTCATATGTTTTTAAGAAAAGGTACAGATTAGTAAACTGCTGTATCTGAAAAAAAATCTCCTGGTACAGGATGTCCATGTTTCCCTTGCAAACAGAAAAGCACAGCTGATATTCTGAACATGCTTTGTGGCCTTTTTAGTGACCACAGCCAAGTAAAAGGCAAAGGAAATGTCACTCAGATGCAGAGAGTTCACAGATGAAGTTATTGAGCTGCCCTTCCTTGCTTGTTCTTCACTTGCGCCTCCAGCTCCACCAGGCAATGCTGCTGTTCCAGGGCAGTAGAGCACCCATAAACAAGGGGTGCTGACTTTTGGCAGAGAGCACAGGCCTACAGGTGACGTCAAGTTACTGAAGGGAATTCTAAAGA